ATCCCAGGTCCTAGGAATCAGAGCTAGTCCAGAGTCATCACCTTCCCAAACCACCAGCAAGTAGAGTCACGTTTGAATTCTCCAGCCCACTGCTCTGCCTGTGGACTGAACAGGGCGTGACTCAGACTTCTGATGTTAGTGTTAGAGGGCTCAGAACTCAGGATCTCTCTGTCTTGGGTTGTCTTAGTCTCTGTTCTCTAGACACCATGGCCAAGGCAACTATTAGAATAGAAAGCATTTCCTTGGGGGCTGGCTTCCTGTTTCATGGGCTGTCAGACCTACTTCCTGGCCTGTCTGTGGTTCACGAACTCACACTGACTCCTGCCCATAAAGTGTCCTCTTCCTGTGTGCTTTTTTATCTCTACGTCATTTAATCACTGGACTCCCTTCTTGAAGAAAGTGAGAAACATCAAGATTCTCACTGAGGGCTCACGAGATTCCTTAGCAGCTAAGACCACACCGTGCTCTTCCAGAGGACCCAAATTTGGTTCCCAGTTCTCGTGCTGGGCAGTACATAGCTGCCTGTACCTCCAGCCCCAGGAGATGGGACGCCCCCTTCTGGGTCTGTGGACTCCTGCGCTCGTGTGTGTAGAAAGGTTTAAATAGTAGAAAGGTTCTTAAAAAGAAACTGAGGGTGTCATTGCCATAGCAAAGCAGTCCAGAGTCACCCAAAGTCAGCCCTCCACTGTAACTCTTCACATCTCACTGAGCTGATTTTCATTTGGGGTCTTTCTAGAGAAGGTGCCCGTGAAGATTACCTCAGCCGTCTTCCCAGCGTGCCTGCTCTGTGCTGAGTGCTGCAGGGGCAGAGAAGACTTCCTGAAGTCCCTGTGGTTCCACTGGGCTCTTTACAGATGAGGGGTAGAAGCCTTAGGCTCAGTCACCTGGGATTTTCGGAAGGCAGAGGCCCAGGCAGTGACTAGTTTAGATATTCCCTCCTGCGGAAAGTTAGACTGAAGGAAGATGGGAGCGGAGGCCGTGGCTGGCAGCCTGTCGTGCTCTGGACTGTAGGCACACACTCTCTGGCCTTCCAAACAAAGACGGGAGCTGCCATCACCACCCAGCTCAGAAGTATGGAGACCTTGGAAGAAGGCAGGTGGCTGGCCAGAAGCAACCAGACCAGGAAAACGCTGTGCCTCCCAGCGCCACTAGAGGGCAGTGCAGCTCGCTGGGAGGTGGGATCAGCCAGGATGTGCCCCAGAGCAAGCTTCCCCAGGGGTAGGGGGCTCCACGGCCTCCTGCAGGGCCTTCTGTTTAGTGTGACAATGATAAACGCACTGCTCTACTGCCCAGGTTCTCACACAAGGAAAGGAGACTCCTGAGACTTACACTCCTCCCTGGCAACCCAGCTAAGTGTGTTGCCCAAGGGACAGACCGAGTCCCCTCAGGACCAACCCAGGCTGTCCACAGCTGTCTACAATGCTGAGGTTAAACCTGGGAGAGGGACTCTCCCTCTGTGGCCCCTCCGCCCCCACCCGGGCCACTCCCTCTTCTGCCTGTCCATCCCCTGGAGCATTAGAGAAAAACAAGAAAGATGGAAGCCCTGTGGCTGGGTGAGACTCAGTAAGTGGTCATGATAAAGTCTGAATGAGGGAAGATCTCTCCATGGCAACACGCTGCCAGCCACCACCACCAATAATACCACCACCAACACACACACACACACACATACCACATACACACACTCATACCACACACACAACACACACACACAGACACACACACATGTTTCAAGGTCACTGGAGAGTCATTGCTCCTTCTTCCACTTCCCTTCAGAGCTCCAGCTGCAAATATACACATCAGTGCTGCTCAGGGTTTTCACAGAGGAGAGTCCCTCCATCCTGACAGGGACGGAGAGCAGGTCCTCTCATAGGAGCTGGCCAGGCCAGAGCAGAACTTAGAGGCCCAGAGGCCTGGGTCACTGGGATCTGCACCCAGGCCACAAAGGCAGTAGAGCCCTCAGCGCAGGTCCAAGGTGAGCATGGAGGACGCTCGCCCACCTCGTACAAGCTCCTCAGTTTAGCGCTCACAGAGCGATGGGAATGCTTTATGAATCTTGAGAGAAATGGGGAAGATGGAGGGAAAAGGGTGAGCGGGATAAAGGAGAGAGAGGGAGGAGGAGAAAGGAAGGCCTGGCTGAGGCCACCTCAGTCGCCCCACTCAGCGCTCAGCTCTCTGCAGACTGTGGAATAATCTGGGAGAATGACAAGATTCTGGTGTCCGTGGGCTCTCTTGGACACGGTCACAGGCAGCCTAAGGCCACACATCCCCCTCCTTCCCAAGGCTCATGGTGTCAGAACACTCTAGGAAACTCTCATTCTTGGTTTTCATTTGGCCCAGATTCCAGGGCCATGTGGAAATTCTTTCTCCTGGGACATGATGAAAACAGGTCCGCAGAAACACGCTCCTACCCTTCAGAGCTCTGTTCTGCATGGGGACACCCCAGCGTGTTAGGCCAGCGCCACGTCAAGCTGGTACAGAGAGCTCTCATCGAGGGGTCCTCCACAGGCCTGGATAGGCAGGGTGCTTGGGGGAGAGACATCCATCAAAGAGGCAGATCAAGCTAAAATACGAGCCTCTCTCTGGCCCTGGGAACAGTGTGGACCAGGACACGGTGTGGGAAGCCCATTGTCAGGCCCGGCCGAGAGGCCTTATTGTTCAAGATAAATCAATACCAAAGTGGCTCCTTTGTATCGGCTGCACCTGTGTGCCAGCCTGTCCTCCCATCCTGTCGTTCCTGCTGCTCCTCTCACGGCCCTCCTGTCAGACTTTCACTGTCCATCCTCCAGCCTCCGGTTAGGAATGTCTCCTGTCTTTCTGTCCTTGTCAACCACTCTCCCGCCACCTTCCCAGACCTCTTCAGAAACATGGCTCCTTCCCACCCCAGGACCTTGGCATGTGCTGTGCTTTTGTTGTTCTGACTCTGATTTGTCAGGCAGCTGGCTCTTCCTGTTCAGTCATGTCCCCTTCCTCCTCAGCAGGTCATTAGGTCCATCACTGATCTGCCTTCCTTTCCTGTCCTCAGACAAAATGTAAGAGGAAACGAAGCTCAAGGAGATGCAGCTATGGAGAGAAGCCCACTCCACAGAGAGGCTTCCAGCCCCACCAGCGTCCCCTGAGAGCCCACAGCTCAGACCTGTGCTGCCCCGAACGAAGGAGGCTGCTCCTTGACGAACACAGCTCAGGCCGTGCCTCTTCCTCTTTCCCCCTGCTGCCTGCTTAGTGCAGACACTAACAACTCACAGATTTGACTGCTCCACATGCTAGGACAGAAATCCTGTGAGTATAGGGACCAAGTGTAGCTTCACAACCCCAGTGCCGGTTCACAGTCAGCGTGTAATAAATATTTTATGGGATGGCTTTAAGTGTGTGTCCTGGGGAAGACTTTGGAGAGGTCACTTCAGTTCCCATGGAGACAAACTCTAATGCCCACCAAGTGGCCATGCCCACAGGTGCTGCTTCATTCTCCCCAGCTCCAAAGGCTACAAGAGGTTTCTCGCCTGCCCCGTCTAGAGAAGTAGGCCTGGAGTGGGACATCCGGCCAGCAACAGTGACGACTCGTGCGTTCTTGGCCATAGTAGCGTATGCACCTTCCACCTTTGAGTAGATTTTATTTACTTGTAACAATTCAGAGGTTACAGTGATTTGAATGAGAATGCACCCCATAGGCTCAGATAATGAAACGCTTGGTTCCCAACTTATGGCTCTGTTGGGAGGATGGGTTAGGAAGTGGACTTGCTGGATGACGTTGACACAGAAGCTGGATTTGGGGAGCCTAAAGTCTTCCAACTTCTGGTTTGTTCTCTTTGCGCTTGTGGCCGAGTCAGTGGGTTCTCAACTCCCTGATCCAGCCACCATGCCTGTGACTTGCATGCTTCTCTGCCATAGTAGAACAATTAACCAAAATAAACTCCTTCTGCCACACGTCACTGTTGGTCATGCTGTTTTATCCCAACAACAGAAAAGTAACTGATTCCAGAGTCTTTCTGTGGGTCCCAGAAACATTCTCAGAGCCAGGTATGGTGAGACTCTGGGAAGAAGATGGAGACTCCAGACCAAGTCTCTGCCCTCATCAAGTACTGGGTCAAAGCAGGGAACAGAAATGGGAATGGAGGTTTCTAGGCAGGAGGAACAACGGAAGACAAAGAGCTTGTGGACTGGCTTCCAGCTGCGAGAAATGTGGTAAGGAAAGAGACTGCAGCTTTCTAGATGACATAAGGTTTCATGTGTGTGACGGCCAGTCTCAGCTGTCAGCTTGGCCAAGTCTAGAACCACCTGTAAATAGGCCTCTGTGCATGCCTGTGGGGAATCGCCCTTATTATGTTAAGGTGGAAGGCCTGCCCACTGTGGGTGGCGCCATTCCCTGGATTAAGATCCTGAATAAAAAGGAGAAAGTGAGCTGATTACAAGCCCAAAACTGCCAAGAAGACAGATCTGATGAGGCACAGATCAACAGCTGGCAGCCGAGGCAGTGCCCACATCGGTGAATGGCAGAAGCTTGCTGCAGCCAGCAGTCCATGGGTGGCCATCAGGCAAACAAGCCTTGGTCCAGAAACTCGGGGTGGGGGGGCAGGTAGCTGCATGATTGGCAGCCAAGTTTGGGTGTCCAGCAGCTATTCTTTCCCAGAAAAAAATGAGGCTCAGCCGGTGTGGAAGTAAGAGACCACGTGTGTTTATTTCGTGTGAGACCCTGGGCAGAGGAGGGGTTTCCAGGGTGGATGTGTTTGATTTGCCAGGGTCAGGGGTGCTAGGGATGCTTAATTTACATTTAGTGGTTCAGTGCCTATTTTAAGCTGGATCTTAGAATGCCTCCTTCAGCACTGGCTAAGGAGCCCCAGATTTTATTCTGTAAGCAAATTTTGAGGTGAAACGGGTTTTTTTTTTTTTATTAAGAGAATTCTAAGACGATTGGAAACTTGAATGGGAATGTGTCTTAGTCTGTTACAGGTGCCATACTATAAACTCGGTGGCATGTAAACAACAGAAAGACACCAGCTGACTCGGCACAGGGTGAGAAATCACTTTTGATTCATAGAAGTGCCCCCACAAGTGGAAGGGCAGGAAACTCCCCGAGCTGCCTTTGAGGGGCACTGACCCACTCATGGGGGCTCTGTCCTCAGGGCCCTACTCAAAGGCCCTGAGCAGGGCCACACTGTGAGCAGGTCTCAACACAGGGACTTGGCTCAGGGCCTAAGTGCTCAGACTGGAGCCCAGAGACTGCTCACAGCTGCCGTGCTAAGAACTGACCGGGCACTGCCCCGTGCTTCTCTCTACCTTCACCCCATGATTGCAGGAAGCAAGGCCGGTGATTGTCCCACAGGACTCATAGGAAAGGTGAGGCAGAAGAGATTCGCTTGACCAAGGCCATACATCCAGTCCACGGAAGACTTAGGGAGCCAGCCTGCTTCTCCTGCCTCCTGCCAGCATCTCGGGAGGGCCTGTCCTGTCCCTAACCCCCAAATGCCCAGGACAGAGAAGAAAACAAGACACAGAATAGGACAGTCTGGGGAAATATTGTAGAAATGCACTTTACACTGGTTGCCTTTCTTCAGCTTGACAAAAACTTGAGTAACTGGGGAGAAGGAATCTCAGCTAAGGCACTGCCTCCAGCAGACTGCCCTATGGGCATGTCTGGAGGGCACTGTCCTGAGTAATGATAGATGCAGGCCCAGCCCACTGAGAGGGGAGTCACCCGGGGTTGGCGCCCAGGTGGTCCTGGGGTGTATAAGAAAGCAGGCTGAGAAGGCAGGGGGCCAGCCAGTGAGCAGCACCCCTCCAGGTCTCTGCTTCAGCTCTTGCTCAGGTTCCCAGCTTTCCTTCCCTCAGCGATGGACTGTAACCAGGACTGTATAATCCAAATAGCCCCTTTCCTCCGCGGGTTGCTTTTGGTAATGGTGTTCACCACAGAGACAGGAAGCAGACTAAAGAGGAGACATCGGTAGGCATAACAAGGAGTCACACACATGCTCTGTTTGCCTCCACAAGAGCACACACCACAGGCATGCTCAGGAACTAACAAAAGCAACCACCCCACAGGCCGAGGGTGATGTCTTTTACTACAGCTTCTATTATGGACCTGTGGAAATGTTATTTTTTCCAAGACCACAACTGACACAAAATAAAAGGGACGGGTTAAAAGCTAATTCAGAAGAACACGTGAAAGTGTCGAGGGCCTGATGGGATTTGTGGGCAGCTCGGAAGTGTTCTGAAGAGCACTGAGAAGTAGTCATAGCTGCTAACGTCTCTAGGAAAACTCCAGGAGAAAAGTGAGGTTGAAGGTAGCTAGCACTTGGCCACAGTGAGGGGTCCTCATGAAGGCGCTTACAGGACCCAGGAGTGGGCAGCATTGAGAGACCAGAGAAGGAAAAGACAGAGGCCTCAGGAACCTTGGGGGGGGGGGGGGGAAGAATCCTGCTGCGGGCAGAGAGATGAAGATGAAGGACCGGAGGAAACAGAGCTTTTCCAGGAGACTGGTGGTCTCTCGGGGTCTTGTGAGTTAGGACTGGGGGCAGAGTGGGGGTTGAGGGTTCAGAGGAGAGGAGCGGCATCAGGGATGAGGACAGAGCCAGCCAAGCCGGGGCTTCTCTCCCTCCTCAAGAAAGAAAATGATAGGTTAATGGAGACAGAATCTACGTCTTCTCAGCAGACATAGATATCATTGCGGCTGAGGAAAGAGGGTTTTAGACCACGTAATGCAGTAACTACTGTATGAAGTGGAAACTGAGTCAGGCAATCCCACGCAGCCTCTCTTCTTTCCTGTTTACACTCCAGGGGAAACGCACAACCTGATCTCACATTTCTGCTTTCTGTTCTTACGCACATCAATGTAGACAGAATTTCACACAACGCTACCTACAAATGCACAGTGTGTAAGCAGCCACTCGGGCATCAAAGGGTTTCTTCTGAGCAATTTTTTTTAATGCATTTTGCTGGGAGGGAGGAAGAGCGGAGCCCAGGAAAGCGAGCAGAGATACAAGCCACTCTAGCTACTTTTTACTCCCCTTTAAGGCTGCCTGGTTACAGTCCTGGGAAAGAAAACCCCTGCATTCCTCCCCTTTAATTGGGTTTATTGTTGAAGCACTGGGGCAGCTAACACTCCCAGACCTGTAGGAGCAGGATTGCTGGCCGAGACTGCTGACTGGAGCACCTTTCCGTGAGTCCCTGGGTAAGACAGCCTGCTTCTTCTTCTTGGGGCTTTGGGGAGGTTATCTGGTTGGCACCGAGGGAGACTGGGTCTGAACACTCACTTCCTTCCAGCCCCTGTCAATCTCTCCTGGCTCCTGTGGTCTCAAGGGTAAGTTGTAGGGGACAGGAAAGAGAAGTCTGTGGGGGCCTGGTAGGTGCTTCCTGGGGGAGCCATCCGATCATTCCTCCGGGCTGGCCCAGGGGAACCTTCTGTACTTGTGGGCAGGGACAGGGATAGGGAGCACCGTGCCCAGTTCAGTGAGCTGCTGGCTGGGGATGGGGATGGGAGCCCCCTCCTCCAGCTCACCCCTAGTTCCTTTACCTCTGGGACCTAGCCCAGCTATCAAAGGAGAATGCTCACCCCGCCCACACCAGCATCCTTGATGAGGATATGGAGCTTGGGGGTTCAGAGGCCATGACAGATAGCCTGTGGCTGTTCCTCATCCTGGGGGCAGGGGTGGCCTGAGGCTCTACAGCGGGGTCCCTGCAGGCTCAGCTGCCCACCCCAGGGCGGAGGCTGCTGCATTAAAATGCCGGACACAGTTAGAGCTGTCAGTCATAAGCCAGTCCGTTCGCCTTCCCCAGGGGCTCAGTCTGCTTTAAACTTCCCCAGGGTGGCTCTGTGGAGTGCTCAGAGTAGGTTTGGATTCACCACCTACCCTCGACAGCCTAGCCCCCTCTCTCCACGTAAGTTTGACGCACAGCATTAACCCTGAGACTAGTGGAGGGTGCCTGCAGCGTGAGCCTGGCCAGCCTTCTGTCTGGAAACAGAAAACTGATCATGAGGAACATCTCTGAGTCGGGTCAAGAGGGTCAAGCAGCTTCCATCTCGGGTAAGGAGAGAACTCTTTCACATCACAGACCCCCGGGGTCATCATTTCTGTGGACCTGAGCTAAACGAGGGCCAAAGATGAGACCCAGATCAAAACAGAGCGGAGCACAGAGTGCTTGGTAATAGCTGATGACACTGCCGTAGCTTACAGCTGTTCGCGGGCTTTTAGCTCACCCTGCGGTGGGCTGGGCGGTCCCCCGCTTAGTGTGTAGATGGGCTCACTGGTTCTCAGGGACCTAAGGTGATTCCTGCTCTAGAGCCAGCCGCCACTGGCATCCTGTGTCTCCGTAGTATTTGAACCCCAGTCCTTTTCGTGTTGTTGTTGTTGTTGTTGTTGTTGTTGTGTGTGTGTGTGTGTGTGTGTGTATAAGAATACTGTTTAGAAAGATGAGGGAAACTTTGGGGAAAGCCTGAGGTCTGAGGAAGCAAAGGGTTAAGCTGGAGCCAGGAGCAGCTCAGGCAATAGATGCAGCTCAGCAGCTCGCCAACGATGAGGATTTGAGCTCTACACGAGGCTCAGCCCTCTCAGATCACTGAAGCCCTGTGTCTCCCAGGGACAAGTCAGGTGCTCTGCAGCAGGGTAGTATCTAAGGAGGAGGCAAGAGATAAGTGACATCCCATTGGCCACCTCCAGAAAAGAGGCAACAGGTCCTGTGCACACTGACAAGGACACTGGAACCCCAACATGGCCACGTTCTATTTGTGTGAATCAGGCCATTTCTCCTGGATACCGTTATCTGTCAGTAGCTCAGCTATGAAATGGTGTAACGTGGCAGGGAGTCCACAACAGGGAGCCTGCCTGCAATGTTCCTGGTGCTGCCCTGTCCGGGGGCTCAGTCTGAACAAGGCCTGGGAGCAATTCTAGGTAGAAGGAAAGAGAAAAGGCTTCCCTCTCTAAAAGCAGTGCTCTTCTCTGTTCCCTCTCCCCCCTCACACACGCACACCCAGCCAGAAATAAATTGCCACACGGAGGGAGTGCGTGTGAGTGACGAGTGACGGCACCCAGCTGCAGCAGCCTGCCAGAGCCAGGGAGTGAATGAGCTGTGGCATGAATGAGGGGAGGAGCAGTGATGTCTGAGGGAAGGCTGTGGCTGCTACAACTGCAGGCAAACGGCCATGGCCAACAGCAAGGGGGCTGGGACAAAGTGGCGGCCAGCCAGAAAGTGGGGGAGGCTGGGGGAGGCTGCACAGCCTGCCCGAGTAGCAGAGCTCAAGCACCTTCGCGCAGCACCCTGAGTTCAGCCTGTCTGACCTCTGCACGTCTCCAGTATGGATGAGCCCCAGCCAAGTGTCTGATTGTGCACAGAGGAGTCAGCTCACACAAGAGTGTGAGGCATGCCATCAGTGTGTGACACAGATGACAAGGTCGTCAACTCCTCAGGACAAAGCATGCCCTGTGGAGAAGCACACCCGGGCTTGTTTTCCTCCCTGTCAGAGAAGCCTGACTTCTCAGCTGAAAACTGTGAGGTATGGTGGTTGCACCTGGGGTCATGCTAGAGGAAAGTGGTCTGCCTTCTAGAACCCCAGAACCCCAGGGCCTAGGAAGCAGCAATGGCTCAGGGGCAGCAGCTCCACAACTCCCGTGGGCCCCGCCCTGCTGGGAGGTTGCCAGCAGGTCAAACACCACGGCCCTCGCCTGCCCTTCTCCCACGCCCGGTGTTGGGCTCGTGCACCATACTGCAGGCATGCCGTGTGGTGCTGAGAAGCTGCACGTGCCCTTTGTTGCGTTTGACCTCACAGAGTGCTGGGTGATAGCTGTTCCCATTCTCCAGACAACGAAACTGAGGAGACCAGTGAGGTTAAGACTGAGCCCTGGCCGTCCCCTGTGTCCTAGCCTCTCGGCCACCAGGGCGAGCTGTGGGAAGGGCCCTTGCTTCTGCTCTGAGATGTGCAAGCCTAATCTTCAGGCAACTTGTCAAGCAGCAGGGGTGATCTGGTTGAGCTTAAATGTGGAAGTGTGGGTTTTCATCTGCCACACACTGCAGGGCAGCCGAAAGCCGTCTTCAGGTGTTTGTGAGCAGAGAGCAGCATATGGAGCTGGCAGTGGGGTTGGGGATGACCGCAGTGGGCCTTGGTGTTGCTCTGGGGTCCTACCTGCTGACAGGCCAGTGGGTTGGAACCCGTGAGCTGGACAGAACTGTGCCAGCTGCACAGGTGTCACCAGAAGACTGATGGATGACAGTGGCTGCTGGGAACTTCATGGATTCCTCAAAAAGACAGAGTAAAAGCTGCATCAGGGAAGGCCTTGCCTGCAGGAGCCAGGGCATGCTCTGAGCAGACTCAGGCCTCTGTTGCTAATGGGTATTAAGAGAGCATTTCATCAAGGACATGTGGGGACTGCCAGGGCAGACTGCAGTAAGCATGAGTCTCTACAGTCCCAGAGCTCTTCAGGGGCCGACGTGGAGCGAGACTCTCCAGGCCGCCTCAGTGCAGCAAAGCTATCTCTTTACAGGGAGCCCCTCTCAGGACACACAGCCACAAATCAGGCTTCGGGACTGAGGACACAGGTCAGGCTTCACAGGTGTATAGATATCTGCCTTGCTGCACAGGCAGAGTGCCAAACCACAATGGGGGCTTTCGGTGTGTCCTCCAGCCGTTCTCTGCATGCCAGAGGATGATACAGAGTCTGCTTCAGGGCAGAATTTAGGAAATTGTCAGGAAAGCCTCCCAGTTTTCACCCTCTGGACCACGTAGTCTGATGCGTCCGTGGCTCCGTGGTTGTGTATGCCCCTGCTTGGAGGCAGGGCACATATTCTTATTACAGATGACACACCTGATAACCACCCTCTCAGCACCCCAGGCCCACAGTGCCATGCTCCCAACAATCCTGGGAGAGGAGGACAAGGAAGCCATAGGAAGCCTGGGGGTAGAGTTCTGGGGTGGAAAGCCTGCTTAGTGTGGGAAGCTCTGGAAGGACGCGATCCCCAGCACCAGAAAAGTAAAACAAATCTTGGGGTACCCTGATTCACCTGAGAGGTACCTCCTTGCTGAGAAGCCCCAGGCAAGAGTGCTGAAACACACCAGTGTCTCCCCTATGGGTAGAACTGAGAGCCCTTATCTGTGCATTTAGAAACACAGAGATGGTACTCCAAAGATTTTCAGGCCTTGTCCTCAGCCTTCTGGTGTGTCTAGGCCACCTTAGAGGCACCATGTCACCCCTGCACTGTGGGGGGGTGGAGGGAAGGGGTGTGGATTGATGCCATCAAGACTCTAGTGGGGTAACATCAGCTCCATAAATGGTCCTGAATTGATGACAGGGGGCCTTGTGGAGCAAGGGAGTAGAGGGAAAGGTCAGAGAGGACCCAGGAAGTGGGGTCATGATGTGGCCCGGCACATGCAGGCTTAGTGAGGGCAGGAAGCAGACACACCTCATCCTCACTAGTTCTGTCTGGGGATAGTATGGGCCCAGGCCAAATGGAGCTGGGAACAGACAGTGAGGCCTATGGGGCACCATGAAGAGGCCTTCTGCCTGCTGGGCTCATGGCCCAAGCATCTCTTAGCACATCTCTTCACTATCCATGCTGGCTGCCAACACGGGTCAGAACACCCATCTCAGGAGCACAGCAAGGGCTCAAACAAGACAGGGCTGTAGTTATCTGGCATTTCCTCTAGGAAGAACTATCCCACTTTGTCCCCTCCCTTGCTGAAAAGATCCCAAGAGGCTAGGAAGACCAGACCAAAGCTACAACAGCAAGACTGTCTTCGTCTCTATGGAGGACCCCCGAGACAGAGTGTCATTGCAGGAGAGGGGCTGGAGAAGAGGCCTGGTTCCGGCATAATGTCCCACAGAGGTTCCGCTGACCAAGGGCTGGACTCAGGTCCCATTAGTCTACGCCTGATGCCGGGACAGTGACACCGAGCAAGGCAACCTGCTTTCTGTTGCCATTCTGCCTCCCTCCCACAGCGCTTCAACAGAACTTCAAATCAAGGGCTTCAGTTGGGCTGCCACCTTCTGCGCAGGCTCGGAGCAGTTCAAAGAATGCAAGCCTTTGCCCTCCACACCTTCTTAAGCCTACCTCCCCTCTGAAGCCATCCTTGACCAATCTCCAGGGGCTCAGGCTAGCTGGACCTCTTGTGTACACCAGGCCCAGTAACGGGCACTGCACACTGAGAATGCTTGCCCCTTAGACATATTGCCTAGCACTTCACCTGTGTGGTGACGAAGACGCGGACCTGCATTCATTCTTTCCAAGTAGACTGCAGCATCTATAGGCCGAGGCTTGTATCATGGAAATATCTGTTCAGTACTAGGTAAACATGAGGTACTTAATAAGTGCTCACTGAAAGACTGTTTCCTTTATGATCAGATGGTCTTCTATGAACATGGCTGTTTTCTTTGCCAGGAGTCTTTGGTACAGACTGTTGTAAGGACAGCAATCTCACTTTGTTGACGAGTGCAGGGCATGAACCAGGTACACATGCCAACATGCCTATGGAAGGCCTGCGTGGAAGTGTGGGCACTGCTCCTGGGCGCTAAACCCCATGGCCATTCTTATGGGCAGTAGTGTCGGGCAGAGCACCTTGGAAGCAAAGCACATAATACTTGAGCTCAGGGTGTCTCTGAATTTTCCCCTTCTTGTGAAAGAACCAGAATTCAGGGGAGAGGAGGCAGGGGAGGCTGGAGCAGAAAGCAGCGTGACCCGGCTGAAGTGTGGGCAGCCCCTCTCCCACCTGTGAGCACCCCACCTGGGCCTAGGCCCCTCCCCAGGTGGTCTGCGTGATGTCATGGATGGTGGGAGCGCAATCACTGAGGCTGTGGGGTCCAGATCTGGGCAGCTGAGCGCTCCACACAGATGATGAAGCTGAGCTGTTAGGACTCCGCGTATGGGAGGAGCAGTGGGAGGGAGAGATGTTTTCTACGGCTTCGCCTCAGCTAAGAATACTGTTTTTAAAGCTATTTAGGAGCGATGGGAAGGAAGGAACTTTGAGCACAGACCAGCTAATGAGACCTGGAAGCCTGCTGCAGAGCGGGCAGCCATTTCCCATGGCTCCTGGAGGGAGAGTAATGTGCACAGCTGAGGCCTCCGTGCCCAGGCTCTTCATTAGCCCCTCACCTGGAGCAAGCTCCAGACCTGTTCTGTGGAAGGGAAAACCAAAGGGGAGGCGTGCAAACCAATCCCGTCTAATGTGAACCTTCAGACACGCACCCCTTTACGCTGGGCCTGCCTTCTGCAAGCCTGCCATCCATCGGGTGTTACCCAATAGGAAACTGTCCCTGGAGACTAGTCCAGCCACAAGACTGGCATGCTGCCATGGAGAAGCTCAGCGACAGAGCTCCCCTTGCCTCTTCGGCTGCCTGCTGGGTGGGCACCCCCAAACCAAGGATCCTGAAGGATTTTGAGTTCATACTCTGCAAAGGGCATCCAGCAAAAGCTGGCACCCTGTTCCTACTCCTTAGAGCCCCACAACGTCCAAGAGGTAAATACAGAGTGATGAGCAGAGAGAGGCTTCAAACCCAGCCCCAAACCTGAGCTGTTCATCTGACACAGAGTTGCAGACCCACGGCATTTGGTGCACATATATGTGCGCACATGTGAACACACGTGAGCGTTCGAGGCCCGAGAACAACCTCAGCTGCCATTTCGCAGAGGCTTCGGGTTGTTTGTGTTGTGTTGTTTTTTTCAGACCTAGAGCTGAGTAGACTAGGCTGGCTCAGCAGTGAGCCCAACCAAGCCTGTCTCCACCTCCTCAGTGCTGGGGTTACAAGCAGGTGCTAGTCTGTTCAGCTTTTCCTAGAGATCACACCTGGGTCCTCACACTTGCAAGAGAAGAAAGGACTTTACTGCCTGCGCCATCTCCACGGCCTTCTGAATGGCCTCGGAGACTTTATGGGCATTTGCTTTTTATTTAGAGTGGGCCCAGAGCCTAACCGGAGTAACCACTGGACCTCTTCTTCCACTTCTCCGTCAGGGTCAGGTGGGAGGGGTAGGGCCGGCAGAACTGGCCTGGTTGCTGTCACTCTCAGAGTGACAGGAGCATGCACACTGCTGTCCTGACTTCCTGGCCTTGGGGCCCTCATGCTTTTTTTTCCTCCAGTGAAGCAGCTCTGTGCAGTTTTTGCTTGTTTGACCTCTTGACCAGCTTCACGTCTCAGCGTATAGCCAACCTGCTCGCAGTGCCTCCATTGGCCTCAGCTGAATGCACCACCCTTGCTGGTCCCCACCACCCACCTCATCTCTCGTCACTTAGCCATCTACGTGGAAGTTTGCTGGCCGGCATATTGCCTGCTTCCTCTGCCTGGCCACCCCAGGAAGGAGGGCCATGGTTCGACTCGTCCACCATCACACACGCACCCCCGGACCAGCACAGGTGCTTCACAAACACAGGCAGCCCCAAAGCTCCGATGCAAAGTCAGGACGTGCTTCCGTTCAGAAGCTAGCGAACATCCGTGTGCGTGCTGTGGGGGTGGCAGGGGGAACACTGCCCCTCCAGAGAAGCTGCTGCAGGTGGGAGGAAGATCAGGGAAGGAGCCAGGCTGACTGCAGAGTCTGAGTAAACACAGGGAGTTCTCATGCCCAAGCGCTAGGCGTTAACCTGTGTGCCATGCACCCTCACTAATGCGCACCTTTCACTAATGCACAGATTGCTGTGGGGCCTCCTCCCGGTCGCACCCAGCCAGCACACACAGCAGCCAGTCAGTGACTTCGCTCTAGCAATTTTAGAAAGCACGTGGGAGAACGCTCTCATTTTTGCCGTGTTCCAGGTTCTGCTCCCAGTATGTCCTTCTGGCCATTACATCATGAGCTGGGTGTTTGAGATCCTTTTGCAACCTGTTCTGTCTTATTTGGGAAACACTCTGATCAGACCTTGTCTTCCCTCCCTCCCACAAAGCTTCCCAGGCAGCGTCAACTCTGGAGGGGATGGGGAGAAAGGAGGAGGAGGAGTGCAGCTCCTGGAAGAAACAGACTACCAACATCAGGAAAACCTTCATCTTCATGGAAGTGCTGGGCTCGTAAGTCCTGGGGCTGGATGGTGGAGAGCTGGGCTGCCTGCTGTGGGGATCAGCTTCTGCAATCTGTCAGTTACACTCAGAGACCTGAGCAGAAGTCTATGGCCCTGGGGTTCCATGAGCAGAAAAGGTACCTCTTACTTTAATACACTGGAGCCCTCAGGAGACAGCACCCCATACTCCCAGGATTTGTACCCACTGGCCCCTAACATATTCCCAGATATATGACAACTTGAGGATTTTTGACGTGATCACAGAAGGAAAGAATTGGGGGAGCATGTCCCCATATCTAATGTCTTTGAAAAAATTTTTCTGGGCCTACCATTCGGCTTCCTCATCTCCTTTGTCATGTGGTCAAGCCAGCCTCAGTGTCCACTTCTGACCGAAGAGAAGGGGCTTCTGTAGTGGCTTCCTGTCCCCCATTAGCCTTCCCACCCCTCCTCCTCATGCCAGTGCTTTACAGCCTCGAGCCCCTGCTGTCTGGCCTCCCCTCGACAGCAATCACACGCCTGGCTGACTCTGCGTGTCTGGGGCATGCTCACCACTCAGTCCAGCCCATCCCCAGGAGGTCACGGGCTCTGACGGGCGCCAGCCAGCAGCCAGCACCAGTCTTCGCCTCTTCAGAGCCTCAGCTGGTCAGCTAATGAGCCAGGAATAATTGGGCCTGGGCAAGCGAGGAGTCCACAGGCTGCTCCCTCTAGCAAGCTTTCCCACCAGTGCTGTCAAAGGATCACTTCACTCTGCTGTGGCCAAGAGGCCGAGAGCTCAGACAGTGACAGATGCCCACGCTTTCCGCAGACAGCCAGGCACCACTGAGAGCAGACTCAGGCTGTCCCCACGCAGGGAGCTGTGTGCGCTCAGGTGATGCAGTGTCAGAGCCCTGGCCTTCCCTTGAGGGCCCTGCCAACATGGGGGTGGCTAAAAAGTGGCGGCTGGCAAAAGGGGACAAGGCTCACAAGTGAATCAGAATTATTTGCTAAGCTGCCTTAAACTAAAGAGAGGAGAGGCCAGGGAGGCCAGACCCACTGCACTGTGCACACCTGGACCGACCCAAGGGCACCTGAGCTCTGTGGCTCTGGTTTTTAAAACATAAAGAAAAGATGGGATGAACTCAAACAAACCCTCCCTCCTAGACCCATTGTTAGCACTTTGCTTCCCAGCCATCGCTGGAGAGTCAAACACAGTAGGAAAAAATGTGTCTGTCCTGGACATGCAAGGTTCTCTCCTGTCCTCGTCCCCCAACAACACAGCACAACTATGATCGGCACAGCCAAGAACCCAACATGAACCATCAAACTCCAACTTACCTGGTGTTCTGATCTCCAGGCCCCTCCACCCTGGACGCATGTCAGACCCTGCTGGGTTCCAACCACAGTGCTCCAGAATCCACAGAGACTGCTAGAATGGCGGGGAGGGTAGTGTGCCCTTGTCTTCTGAGGACACAACCAGTGATCACCAGCAGTGCATCAATAGGACACACCCATAGTTCCAGCTATTCAGGAAGCTGAGGCAAGACCACGTGATCCCAGGAAATTGAGAGCAGTCTGAAAGAAGCAAGACCCCAGGGAGTAAAATAAAACAATTCACAACTTAAAGCTAATTAAGCTGATCCTGAGGTCTTCTCTCACTGCTGCCCCTGCTGGCCATGCTGCTCCACAGTGATGGCAAGTGAGTTGGCTGTGGCAAGCCTTGATGGGGTTTACCGTGCAGAGAAAGCAGAGTCCATGGGGGTTAAGCAGGGGACAGTAGCCGCCTGGGCCCCAAGTCTGCCCCGTGAGCTCAACAAGGGAAAGAGCACACTGGCATGTGTGAGCCGTGAGCACCCCACTCACCCAAGTTCATGGTGACACGGAAACTTGTTGCCAACCACACATCCTCTTCTGCACTTCCCCTCCCCCCCCCCTCCCCCCCGGCTTCTGGCACGCTCTCTTCCAGCCACAGCTACATTTTCTGTCTTGGCCTCTTCCCCACAGAGGAGCTTTCTCAGAGGTGTTCCTGGTGAAGCAAAGAGTGACTGGGAAACTCTTTGCCCTGAAGTGCATCAAGAAGACACCAGCCTTCCGGGACAGTAGCCTAGAGAACGAGATTGCTGTGCTGAAAAGGTGAGTGGGCCTCAGGGAACATGGGAAGAGGAGGAGCAGGTGCAGCTCAGAGAGTCTGACCTGCCCTTCCCAAATTACCTTGACAGCAAACAAGCTGACCACACCTGCAGGCTTTGAGCTCTTTGAATTGTGTCAGATTAGTCAGGCAGCTGGACCACACAAACTGTTTTCCCAGCTGGCTAGTGAACTCACTGGTTCACAAATGCAGGCCAGAGAGTGATTAGATCAGAGAGTCAAAAGCCAACTGATGGCCAACAGCAGGAAGAAGTGATAACCGAGGACACAGCGGGAGACTGGGAATCAGCCTTGGATGGCTGCAGAGAGAACCCACACTCAGCCTGGGAACTGCGGGAGGCTGCCCTGATGTGCCACCAGTGTTCACAGTGAGACGCTTATAGTGTGCCTGTGGGATGCTGTGATGTGTGACATCATAGGCAGGTGTGATAGGAGACACGTGACCAGAACCGTTCCATGAGGCAGACACTGCCCAGGAACCCATGTTGCCCAGAAGGAGCACCCATAACTTCCTCTTCCCACCTGGCTGGCTGCGGTCCAGCAGAAAGCAGTGTGTGGAGGCAATAGGTTCGTTTCTGTTGGCCCAGCTGCCTGATGAGTGTTAATTATTAGATATGTTTCCAAAGAGGAAAGACTTTGATGAATGAGTAGAATTTTCTGAGCAAGGAGGCAGCACAGAAAGGAAATTCAAGAGTTGTGCAAACCTTTATGCAGAATCAGGGAAGTATAAGGAGAGAATGTCCTAGAGTCCCCACATCTCCGAGTGGGTAGCAGCGAGGACAGACAAGTGAGAATAGAATGTGACTGCAGCAAGGTTTGCAGAGGGTCCTTTTGCCAGGCTCGAGGATGCTGGCTTTATTCTCTGAACAAGGAGAAGTGACAGAGGGACTTCAGACACGGTGTCAGAATCAGATAAATAACCATCCTCTTAGGTGTGCAGGAAGGGTGTTAAAGAGACCAGCCTAGAGGATGGAAGACCCATTAGAAAACCCTCACAGCCATTTACACAGGGTAAAATCCATGAGTGGTGGGATTTGATGAAGGCAGGATCTGGACTCCAGCACCCTCATACACTGGCAATGCTCACATCTCAAGGAAAGAAATGGTCCAGTTTGGGGTTAATCAACAAGAGTGCTGAAGAGAAGGGATCTAAAAGGATCCGGACTAAGCCAAGTTCCTGCCAAGTAGAAAGTGATGCTGAGAAGACAGAACAAAAAGCACAGACTTTAAGGGGACGGGAGGAAGTTGGATGGAACATATGGAGTCTGCTCTTCTGGACATGGAAGAGCCTGGGCTGTCCCATGGTGGTGTTCCTTACTCCCCTGTAATAACAGCCCAGATGTTCAGCACACACAGTTCAGTGCACGAATAAGCAGGGACTTAATGTGAGCATTGCCAGCGTATGAGGGTGCTGGAGTCCTAGGGGCCACAGCGCATCCCTGGGCTTTAAAGGTACCTTAACCCATTTGGCCACCACTAGCTATGTCTTTCCCCAAGCACTACACTATGCATTTTCTTTTTAAATAATATTTTTAAAAATTTTTCGCTGTATTTATTATTATTGTGTGTGCGTACGTACACGAAGCGTGGGCACGTGGGCCTGCTAGGCCCTCCACATGGTGCTAGGGATGGACCTCAAGCCAGCAGAGCTGTGCATCATGCCCCTTATCCCTGAGCCACCTCGGCTTTCTCTTTCAATCCTGATACAGCCACATGAGAGAGATGCACTCTTCAGTCTGAAACCAACCACTGAAAGTGAGGATTTGAGAAAGTGGGATAAAGCGAGGCTCTGCCAGAGTCGGGACTCCTAGGCCTGTCTAACTCAACAACACCCTCCTGGAAGCAATCTTCCTCCCCGGCATCCACAGAGAGGCTACCAGGAAAGCCACGCCCCTTGCCTGCCATGATTCTTCTATTTAACTGAACGGCAGTCCTTCACAACAGTGGACCTGACCATTTTGGCTTGTGCACTGTGGGCTAGTTAGCAGTCTTTCTACCTCCACCTTGCAGGCACCGGTGGCAGCCCCAGCCCCTAGCAACAATAATCAAAAATATGTTTCTGGAGGGCTGGAAAGATGGCTCATCAATTAGGAGTGCATACTGCCGTTGCTAAGGACCCACGTTCAGTCCCGAGCCCCCAAACCAGGTGACTCATGGCATCTGTAACTCCAGCTCCAGGGAACCCAACACCCTCTGGCCTCCTCAGACATCTGCAGGCATATAGTGAACATAGATTCATGCAGACACACGTCACACATGTGTGCACACACACACAAATGCTTTTTTGTCTTTAAAAATGTATTGTTGGGCATGGTGGTCAATAAGCTTAGCACTTGGGACACAGAGGAAGGAGGACTGCACAATCTAGTCTACATGATGAGTTCCAGACCAGCGTGGGTCCAAGCTACATAGTAATACCCTGCCAAAAGGAAGGAAGAAGGAAGGAGGAAGGAAGGAAGGAAGGAAGGAAGGAAGGAAGGGAGGGAGGGAGGGAGGGAGGGGGGGGGGGAGGGAAGGAGGGAGGGAGGGAGGGAGGAAGAGAGGTATGGAAGGGAGGGAGGAAGGAAAGGAAAGAAGACCAAGAACCACAATGTGAAGAATAACTAGAGAGATAAATAGATGATTGGAAGATAGATATAAGGTAAAAATAGATGATAGATAGACAGACAGGCAGACGGATAGATTGATAGGTGCATGGATGGATGGTTACATGAACAATTGCTAAATGTCCTTTAAGGGGCAAATACCCTGATAGAGAATCACTCATCTAAGACATTCCACAGGAAATCAGATTCTGCCTTTTTTTCATATCTCAACACTTTTTTCACGGTTACTACGTTAACTGCCTTTCTTGTTATTGTAACAAAATACTTGATGAAACAACTCTTAAAAGGCTTGTTTGACTCACAGCTTCAAGGATCTGTTCCACTGTGGAAAAGAAGCAGTGACACATGCGCCAGCTGGGCCCACAGCATCCAGTCAGGAAGCCAAGACATGAGCGCTGGAGCTCAACTCACTCTCCCCTTGTTACTCAGTATGGACTCAAGCCCACCACCCCATGACCACAGAGCAGGTCTTTCTTTCTCAGCTGCTTTGTGCCAGGCTCGTCACCCGGAGTCTCTGAGACCCAGTCCTTACAATTGCACTCAAACAACCTGATAGAAAGTTTGAGTGTGAGTCTGCACTCTCTGTTTGCACCACCTGACCCCTGTGCCCATCACGGGATTCTTGCCTTTCCCAGGATCAAGCATGAGAACATTGTGACCCTGGAGGACATCTATGAGAGCACCACTCACTACTACCTGGTCATGCAGCTGTAAGTGACCCTCAGCCCACAGAGGCGGGGGAGGGGGAGCACCAGAGAGGGGGGGGAAGAGCACCAGGGGAGAACGGCCACTAGATGAAGTTAGGAACCACCTTCAGAGGTGATTCCAATTCCAATAAAAAGAGCAAATTTCTCAAAGGAGAAATACTTGAATTCCTGCAGGCTCTGTGGTATATCCTTCTGTAAGACCGGACTGGTTCTTCACTAGAACGGTCTCTGTGTCTGTCATTGTCACAACCATGAGTTGTGCCTGCTTTGTGTGAAGCCAGGGATTTCAGGTTTCAACATGATGTTTAGAAATATTAAGAATACAGCCAAGGAGAACCTAGTCTTCCATGGGAGGCGGTGAGTTCTCTAGCACTCAGATCTTCTAGTACTGATTGACATGTTTAGAAACATGGCATCAAAGATATCGGAGGTCAGACTTGATCTTTGGCTCCAAAGTCAATAAAGTCAAAAAATCCCATGTCAATAAAGTTTTAAAATACTTGTGTGTCCCTGTCTGAAATGTCAGCAGTAGGTAGTCCTGTTTTCCTGATGGGGAAAGAAGTCCTATTGTAAACGGATGCATAATTAATCTCATTTTCACTATGTCTAACTGAATTCTGTGTCCCAGGTAAGCAGGGAAGATAGCCATAGGAAGGCATTCCTAGCTTTTCCAGGTACTCTGACCAATGCCATTTTAATTAGAATAGAAACTTCCAGAAGAAGATCAACCAAATGACCCCTAGTGATACCATCTCAGGCACCAGATGGAGTATTCAAAGCCAGGGGTGTGCCCCTGCACACACATCCCATTTCAGAGTGCCTTTCTGTGCCTGCAGTCCAGGGCTACAGAGAAGTGTGTCAACTTTGACCTGAATCTAATTCTTGTGCCCACAGTGTTTCTGGAGGTGAGCTTTTTGACCGGATCCTAGAGCGTGGTGTTTACACAGAGAAGGATGCTAGCCTGGTCATCCAGCAGGTTTTGTCAGCAGTGAAATACCTCCATGAGAATGGCATCGTCCACAGAGACCTAAAGGTGATGGGGCAGGAATGCTGGATGGTCCTCATGAGGCTGCATCAAGACTGAGGAGCAGAACTCTCAAATGAGAGTGTTGACCTGGCTGGACTCCTAAGGCTTCTTCTTCCCTAAGGTTCCTTATGCTGAGCATAGATGATCAGTGTTCCGCTACATCTTCGGCTTTTCGTGAACCTTCCGAATGCTTCCCTGATGTCAAAATAACCCAGCCACAGTCAGACTCAAGCACTGAGAGTCTAAACCACAGCAGGCATTGCAGAAGGCTTTAGGAGATAAGAGACAGTTAGCCAAGGGTTTGGTCCCTTAAAATTCAGTCTAGGGTAGTAGGGAGTAGGGAGCAAAGCCAAGACCAAAAGCAAGATGCAGAGTTCTAGGAGGCACTAGCAAGGGCACAGATAGGAGGGGGGTGGAAGGAATAGGGGGAGGGGTGTGGCCTCTGACTTGGGAGCCCAGGGCTTAGCGTCCTAGGAATCCCATATCAAGAAGGACAGCACACTGTTGAGAAGGTTCCTTTCTATGCTGTGCATCTTCTCCTTCCACAGCCTGAAAACCTGCTGTACCTCACCCCTGAGGAGAACTCCAAGATCATGATCACCGACTTTGGTCTGTCCAAGATGGAGCAGAATGGAGTAATGTCCACAGCCTGTGGGACTCCAGGCTACGTGGGTGAGTCCGGGAGCAGGAGAAGCAGCCATTTGTCTGTTTACCCACTGATGTTCTGTCTTACTTTCTGTTGCTGTGATGAACGCCATGACCAAAAGAAGAAGGGGCATATTCCATTTCACATCTTCCAGTCCATCATGAGAGAAGTCAGGGCAGGAACTCAAGAGGGAAACTAGAATAGGAACTGAAGCAGAGGCCATGGAGGAATGCTGCTTCCTAGCTTGCTCCCCATGGCTTGCTCAGCCTGCTTTCTTATACCATCCGGGACCATCTGCCAAAGGGTGGAACTACCCCCAATAGGCTGGGCACCTCATCTCACATCAATCCTAAATCAAGAAAATGCCCCCACAAACCTGCCCACAGAACAGACTGATGGAGATAACTCCTCAGCTGGAGTTCCCTCTTCCCGGATGACACTAGCTGGGGTTAAGTTGACCAGCACAGCTGTGCTCTAACTCAGACAGAAAGGTGACTAGGTGTGGATGTGTTCATCCCAGGGGCTGTCTGGTAGAGCCCTTGGCTGACCCTCTGCCTCTCTAATCCTGCTCTTTACAGAGCATGCCCGAGTCTTTCCAATAGACTCTAGGCAGACTCTCCTGCCATCACAATCCTGAGATTGGCAGAGAGCTGAAGGGTGGAGCACTCACCCCATCTTTTCCTCCTACACCAGAACTCCCAAATGGTGGAAGTCTGGAGAAGTCCTGACCAAGGGCTTATGGGCCCCTCATGGAAGTCCAGGAAGCACAGGGGAGTGGTGGAAGCTAAGCATTGTGCCCATTCAGCTGCCAGAACTCCTGAAAAGAGATGTACCAGAGATGGCACTTGGTCATAGCAGTCCTAGGACCTGAGAGAAGGAAGGGAAAGAGAATGCCCTGGTTTAGCCAGCCATCACCTGGGGGGCCTGTGGGAGGCAGAGCCCAGACTTCCAGAGAGAGCCCGCTCTCTCCCACAGGAAGTTTAGTCACTCCTACAGAAGAGCAATTCTGTGGATACTAAATCCAGTTCTAAGGTACACTCAGAAGGCAGCTCTCTCTGACTGGCTCTCCCGTCAGAGGAAGGCATGGCTCATGGCCATACTGAGCCCTCAAGCTCATGCGCTGGAGAGATAGAGATAGAAGTTCCAACCATCTTCCGGGAGCTTCCTGAGATGACTAAGGTAGGAAGCCTCTGCCTTCCAGGGCTTCTGGCACAGTAGAAGAAAGAGATCACCCTGAAGACCCCTGCTCTGCCGCAAAAGCTGGACTGTTGCCCCATGGCTCCTCCATATGCATGCAGACGGTTGTTACTCTCAGAGAGTACACAGGCTGATGGGAGCAACAAAGCTGGAGACGGCTAGGATAACAGAGGACTCAGACAGCTCATGGGAACTCCCAGATCAGTGGAGGAGCAGCTTTCTCCTCTGGGGAAGAGTTAGTCTCCTTGCAGAGACAGTCCCTGCCTTTGGGATTTTCAGTCTCATGGATGTTCCCTTGCCCTAGCCTTGACCCTCTGCTCCCATCCCCTTTCCTATTCTCTACTCCTCTCTTGTCCCTAGCCCTGAACCTACTATTTATTTCCTGCAGCTCCAGAAGTGCTGGCCCAGAAGCCCTACAGCAAGGCTGTGGACTGCTGGTCCATCGGAGTCATCACATACATACTGTGAGTAAAACCTGGCTCCGTGCATTCTCCGGGGAAGCTCAGGCTCTGCTCACCCCTTCTCCTCTCAGCCATATCTGTATGCATGTGCACACACACACACACACACACACACACACACACACACACACACACATTACTTATGAGCTTCTTCATCAAGCCATGAACAGAACCCAGCCTGCACTCACTCTTCAGCTCCCCCAGGCTACCCTACCCCCGCGCACTGCATTCCACCTTCTGTGCAAATATGAGTTCCAGCCACTCTGTAGAACCGTCATGAAAATGAAAGATCAAGGCCTAGGAACCATGTAGAGTGCTGTATCTGAGCTTCCCCACCCCAGTGACACCATACAAGGCAACATCATGAACTAGAAGGTTCTCTTTCCTCTCTTCCATACATGCTGAGACACTCCCTTTCCTAGCCTTCCCATGACTCTCCCCAACAGGCCTCCCCCATAGCAGCCAGCTTTGTTCTTAGTGAAATAGCACTTGCCCCAGTATGGATTATGTTAATTTAATCTTTAGCTCATCAGCTAGGACCTGGGGTGTTGCTCAGTTGCCCACCTAGCATGCCCGAAGCCCTGAGTTCAATCCTAGCACAGTATAAAACTAAGGGGTAGAAATGGGGCTAGAGAGATAACTCAGCAGTTAAGAGCACTGGCTGCTCTTCCAAAAGACCCACATCAGGCCTGTAACTGCAGCTCCAAGGGGATCTGATGCTGTCATCTGGCCTCTGTACATGCCTGCACACATGAAACACATAGACAGACATAAGCATATAAATAAAACCTTTAAGAGAACAGCCTGGGGCTGGTAGCACAGTGTGCAATCCTAGTATTCAGGAGAAGCAGAAGTTCAGGGTCACCCTTAGCTACACAGCAAGTTTGACGCCAACTTGGGCTACATGAGACCCTGTCTCAAGAAGAAAGATTTAATCCCTTGGATGTTTTTCATTCTCCTTAAGGGTGCTTTGTAGAGAATACCCATGAGCCAGCGAAAGTGAAGGCTCAGTGGGCTGATGCCCTGCAAAGGTTCTTCCAGAAAGTCCTCTCTGGGCCCCAGCTTTCATGTGCTTTCCGTGGACAGGCAGGCCTACCTCCTAGTCACGCTGCTGGTCTGAGAGCCGCGCTGACTGACTGTGTACATCAGGAGGCTGGGGGAGAGAGAGGCTGGTCCAGAGAAGAAGGACGGGCTAGCAGGCTCCCTCCTTCCTCTCTCCCTACAGGCTGTGTGGGTATCCCCCTTTCTATGAAGAAACAGAATCAAAGCTTTTTGAGAAGATCAAAGAGGGCTACTATGAGTTTGAGTCTCCATTCTGGGATGATATTTCTGAGTCAGGTGAGTATGAAGGACAAGGCAGAGGTTCCGAGAGAAATGCCTTCATGGAGACGACAGTCCCTTGGAGTTCATACAGAAGCAGCTGCCAGGGAGGGCAGAGCCTCTGTACCTGGTTCAGAGTGAAGTATTAGAAACTAGGACCCTGGCCTTGCTGTCCTGTGGGGGAGGGGGCACAGCACGTGGGGAGGGGGGGAGGAGGCAGTGGGGGTCAGATGAGAGTCCGAGAGAGGCAAGTTGGCAGAGAGGAGGGTTGCAGGCAGCAGCACAGCCTGGGGAGAGGACAGAACACGCCCTTGTGTGGGAGAGGGCAGCGTGCGTGCTGTACATGAAGAGTGAATCGTGCATGCTTGTGGGGCCTGGTAAGTGGCCGTCAGGGCTGGAAGAAGCCAGCACTCACATGTCAGCCCATGTGCTTACCAGCAAATGCATGCAGTATGCAGGCACATTGGCATGACGGGCCTGGCAAGGTTCCCCTGTTAGTGTGGGCGAGGGTGCCTAGAGCACTCTTCTGGCGGCTTATGGTGGGGTGTTAGGTGGTTTGGAGTTTTTCTCTCTCCTTCATTTAAGACTCTTAAAACTGCCTCTTTGGAAGATTAGCTAAAGATGAATTCCCTGCCACCCACCAGCCCGGAAGTGAATTTCTGCCAGTCATGAATCTGGTCCTTTGCTGAGTCTCTGCTATTCCCCTCAGCCAAGGACTTTATTTGCCATCTGCTGGAGAAGGACCCGAATGAACGGTACACCTGTGAGAAGGCCCTCAGACACCCCTGGTAAGTGAGGAAAGGGGTGTGCTGTGTGGCCTCCCTCGGTTCCCAAGACAAGCTAGCTCCCACGACCTCCTGGAGCCAGCCGCCATGAGACCGCGAAGCCAGGACAGAAGCGTTCAGAAAACACACATGTGTTCTCAGGCCCAGGTGGCCATCACACAGCGCTGGGCTGGGCCGGTGTGACCGGCAGGGTCCAGCTAGGTGCTCTAACCACTTCCAGAGGCAAAGGCCAAGGGTCCTGTCTTCAGGCTCACTGTCAGATTCCCACGTGTTGAGAGCTAGTTTCTAAAGAGGCAGCCTGCCCTGGTTCTAGAGAGTAGAGTGTGAGTGTGGGTGTGTATTTGTGTTTAGGTGGGTTCACGGGTGTGTGTGTGTGACATGTGACTTTATAAGATGGGTAAATAGACTTCTGAGGCACTGTCTTTTCAAGCCACTCCCTGTCCCCTGCTCAAGAACTTACAGTTTCCCATCCCCTTCCATAGCAAACACAGAGTCCTTTGCCTCTCCAGACTTCCTGATCTGATCCTGTCTTTCCTCCTGCGCCCACCATTCTAGCCAAACATCTCTGATTTAGACAGACCGCTCTTCCTGCTCCCCTCCCTTCCCCACAGGCTTTCTTTACATGCCATTGGTCAATATGGAAAATATCCTTCTTCTTGACTTCCACACCGCCTTTAGGCCCAGACCCCTGCTCTGAACTCAGCCCTGAGTTCTTAGTCCACACAGGCCTTCCATCTCTCCTTGGAATCACCCAGCTCACCATGAATTTCTCTAGCCCGTGACATGAAATACCACACAGCTAAAGCAGAGGCTCCTGGCGGCCAGAGCCTCATCTCTCTCACTTCTTCAGTCCCCTGATGGTTGCACCAGTACCATGCATGTGTTGTGTGTCTGAGGAATGCTTAGAGACAGGTGACTAAGAGGACAGAGAGAGGAGTGAGGGGTGACCTGCATGAAGCGGTCTTGGGGAGGAGAGACCCACATGGACTTATTCTGACCAAGGGTGATGGCCAGAGGGAGCAGCAACATGGTGCCCTGAGATTCTGAGCTTATAAATGTTCTGTAAAGTAACAGGTAATGAACAGTTGAACATCGGTGTCAATCACCACTGCTAAGTCAAGCATAAACAGCCATGAAAAACAGCCGTTGATGCTCATAGCTGCACCCAGCAAACTCTTGCTTTCAAAACGCAGGCTAGGCAGACTAGTCCCCAACACCACAGTTTGCCGACCCTGTTCTAAAAGCTTATGCCGAAGCATAAGCCCCTGTGACCTGCCCAGGGAGATATAGGAGTCCTTTTCTGCTGGAGCCACCTTCTCCTGGGACATCTTACCAACTGAACATAGCCCTGCATGCACAGAGCCCTGTCCAACTCCGACTGAGTGTCAGGGCCGCCTGGTAGCCAACTCCCCTCCTACATCCTAGGATTGACGGGAACACGGCCCTGCACCGGGACATCTACCCATCTGTCAGCCTCCAGATTCAGAAGAACTTTGCCAAGAGCAAGTGGAGGGTGAGCTGGGCGGAGTCTGAGTGTGCTGTCCCGGGCCCTGGGAGGCTGGACTATCTGGGGCTGGTGGACGGGTTTCCCAGGAATCCCTCTCCCAAGCAGCAGCAGTACCCGGCACTCTCTGTGGACTGGGAAGTGGGCAGGCTGGTTTCCAGAGGCCCCATGGGTGAGAAAGTGGGAACCCAGCAGCCTCTGCAAGAGAAGACCCAGACAGTCCCCTGCCTCCGCAGCAAGCCTTCAACGCGGCCGCAGTGGTGCATCACATGAGGAAACTACATATGAACCTGCACAGCCCCAGTGTCCGCCAAGAGGTGGAGAACAGGCCGCCTGTGTCCCCAGCCCCTGAAGTCTCCAGACACGGCTCCCATGACAGCACCATCACAGAAGCCCCCATCCTGGACCCAGGCACGCCCCTTCCTGCACTGACCCGACTGCCCTGCCCACACAGCTCCCGGCCTTCCGCTCCTGGAGGCCGCTCGCTCAACTGCCTGGTCAACGGCTCTCTGCGCATCAGCAGTAGCCTGGTACCCATGCAGCAGGGGCCCCTGGCCACTGGGCCCTGCGGCTGCTGCTCCAGCTGTCTAAATATCGGGAACAAGGGGAAGTCTTCCTATTGCTCCGAGCCCACCCTCTTCAGAAAGGCCAACAAAAAACAGTACGTAGTCTCAGGCAGGTGGCCTGAGCCTGCTCACCTACTTCAGGAGGGCGGGAACAGCCTGCTGAAGGACACAACAGGAAGGCCAGGCCCGTTATTAGGCAGCCCAAAGGAACTCTGGGCCCAGGCAAGGGAAATTTCTGCCACCAGCCAGAGAAACTGTTGCTAGCCATGCCTCACCTTGAAGTTTGAAGTTTGAAGCTTGAAGTTTGCTCGTCTATAGAGCCTCACTAGAGCATTATAGAGGTCGGGTGGAGGCAGACGTGGCAGGTTGGGCTTCATCCCTATAGCTAAGCACCTGCCTCACATGCAGGGTACATTGAGTCTTAAGTACCGAAAAGAGAAAAGTGTGTGGATAAGTACTAGTGTTAGGTTCCCCGAGTTACCAGGGCTTCCCTGGTTGGGACAGGAAGAAAGAAGGGGCACCCTGGAGGTCTTTTCAGCAGGGTCTTTGCCACCAGAACCTCAGAAAAGGATGGCTGGGCAGACACCATGGGTGTGGAGGACACCCCGTTTTCCTCTTGCCTCAAATAGTTCAAGAACTCTACTGGGTCCTCTTTCCAGGAACTTCAAGTCTGAAGTCATGGTACCAGTGAAAGCCAGTGGCAGCTCCCACTGCCGGGCGGGGCAGACTGGGGTGTGTCTCCTTATGTGATCCCGGGAGCGCCTGCAGTTTTCAGGTAGGCTCTGAGGCTGGGGGCTGAGACGGGGAACAGGGGGCCTGGTGTCTAGAGGGGCTAAAGGAGGGGCTCAGAGCCCACTGTCACTGAGTGCTTCCCTTTCCAGGAGACATGCCTGGCTCTCCTCTGCCTCTCTAAGCACCTGCTCTGCAGAGGGGGAAGAGCCACAGAGCAGGGCTGGCCTGAAGCAGTCTGGCTGTTGCGGCCTGGGGCGGACACTCGCAGGACGCTCAGAGGAGTCCGGAGCCTGGATGTTCCCTGAGGCCACTGGCAGGATGAGTGGCATCTCAGCCTCCACGTCTCCCAGCCTGCCCATTCCATTCCCCACATCCCCTATGTGTGTGGCCGTGTGCCGGATCCATAGTGCTCACCCGGGTCCGTGCTGTTTGTTGTGAAAGCTTTATGGGCTGGCCAGGCTGTGCCACGTTCCTCAGCAAAGCCATATGGAGTCTAACTCCGACTCCTTGCTCTGCACACTCGTGCCCACCTCTCTGGCCTCATGGCCAAATGGGCCTCATTATCATAGTACCTGCCTGTTCGCATGACTGTCAGGCTGCTCCCCTGAGGCCTGGGAGCACTCACAACTCTAAAGCTTCCCTCCGAGGTTCGCTTCCCACCGCACTGAGACCCCAAACACGCCAAAGCTCGCCCCACCTCTGCCTCACAGCAATTCCCCCTCCTCCATGGTGGAATGGAGATGATGGACTCTGAGCACTTCTCCCAGCCACACACCTCACATACCCTTGATTAAGGATTTGCAGAGTTGTTTTCGTGTCAGCCAGGTCTCCTGCCTCAGGCCCCCTGTCCTCTGAAAGCCAGGTGCATTGTCTGTCTCTCTGTGTTTTGCCCTCACTTCCTCAAGCTTCAAGCTCCACCTTGTACTCAGATAAAATGGAAATATTTTTCTCTATGAGGCGTCACTCGTTCTGTTTTCATCAGAAGCTGCTCATGGACAGCTGGGCACATCTGGGCAGCCAGGGCTTGGTGCAGCCAATATATATCGGGAGCCGAGAGCCTGGATATGTGACCCACCCAGTCATGTCGGCCTCTGGAGAGGTTCTGTGAATGCTGGTACTCCTGCCCTGTTAATGGCGCAGAACACGAACGAGGCTCTGCCTTCACCTACCACACTGATACTGCGGGTGGTTGTGCCTTGTTTTCCTCACTTGTCTGCCACTTATACCACGGACAGTGTGTGTGGCATGCCAGACACCCTGCTCAGAACAACACAGATGGTCGATAATGAGAAGGACATTAATCTAAGCCAGGCTTGATGGCACACACCTAGAGTCTTAGCACTTGGAAGGCTGAGACAGGAGGGGTGTGAGTTCAAGGCCAGTCTTTGCTATAAACACAGTGAGTGAGACCGTATCACAAAGGAGGAGGAAAAGAGAAAAGTGGAAAAGGAGGGAAAGAAGAAATAAGATGGGAGAGAAAATGGGGGCAGAGGAGAAAGGACCGGGCATAAGGCCCAAACCATGGCTAGCACACTAATGTTTGTGACATTCCATATCAGCACGCACAGTCCTTTTACACAAAACAGTTTCTAGCCTTGTCCTACCTCTGGAACAGGTAAAATAACCCAATTCTCCCCAGGGGTGATTGGCTAAGAGATGTTCACAGAACAAATTTCTGTTAACATGGTGTTAACATCAGGAGCTGGCTGTTATGCAGCCATTTAATGTTTATTTTTCCTCTAAATAATAAATGTTGGGAGCAGAGAAGGGTGTGGATCTGACTCAGCCGTTGATAGTTGCTGGACTCCCCTTGGAGTCCGGTTGCCTTGAAGAGGGCTGCCAGGCAAGCAGCTCCTCCCTAAGCTGTGTGGACGCCCACATTGCATCCTGGCTGCTTTGAAGCCACAGGGATGCCTCAAGGAAGCTACGCTACAGCTCAGCTGCTTGTTGCTGAAGCACAGTTCTGCTTCAGAGGTCAATATCCCGGCTCAGTGAACTCAAGTGAACACAAGGCTCAGTGTGGTGGTTTGAGCGAGACTGGCCCACATCGCCTCATATGTTTGAACGCTTAGGGTGTAGCACTATTTGAAAGGATTAGGAGAGGTGGCCTTGCTAGGTAGGTATGGCTTGCTGGAGGATGTGTTACTAGGGGTGGGCTTTGAGGTTCAAAAGCCTAAGCCAGGCTCAGTGTCTCTCTCTAAAACTGTAAACCAGACCCATTTACATGCTTGCTTGCTTTTTCTTTTTCTTTCCTCTCTCTTTCCTTCCTTCCTTTGTTCTTTCTTTTCTTTGTGTGGTCTTGACTGCCCTGGAAATGGCTGTCTAGGCCAGGCTGGCCTCAGCTCACAGATCTCTGCCTGTCTCTGCCTCTCTAGTGCTGGGATTAAAGTTGTGTGCCAAGAGCTGTGTTGGTCATGGTGTTTCTTCACAGCCACAGAGCACTGACTAAGACATAGCCCTTCACACAAACGTGGGAGACTATACAATGACAAGTTCAGACACCCTTTTTGGCTCCTTTCAGCTGTGCACACCAACTGCTCGGACTTCTTTTCAAGTTAACATGGAGACAGCCTCCTGTGGGCATTGAGTGGCCTGGGATGGCAACTTGGGAAGAGGTGGCAGCAGCAGGAAGATAGCAGCAGGAAGGGAGGCAGCACCCTCCTGGCGTGAAGGGAGCAGGGAGTGGAAGCCCCACAGAAGGAAAAGTGGACAGGAAGCAAAGCTGAAAATAAGACTGAGGTTGCCAGGATCCAAATATAAGAAATTGTGGGTCCTGGCAACTAAAGAGTTCCAGGAGCTGCCAAGCCTTAAGAGGGGACAGGTGCAGTGACAGTGGAGGAGGACAGCAGCTGCCCAGTGCCATGGCTGCCAGTGATTACAACCAAGAGAAAACAAGCCACCAGCTTGAGCACCTACATCTACAGGTCCCTACCGTCAAAAGCCGGGCTCTCGGGGCTTGAGGCTGAAAGCCTGGGCTCTGTGTACCAGTGCCAGATGCTGTGCAGCCACAGACTGGGCACTGCCACCTAAAGAGCCTCTGCTCCCCTCCGCTGCCTGGTAGAGCAGAGGCACTGTGCGTACACAGACCTGAGAAGGGAACAGATGGGCTCCAGTCTGGACACAGAAAAGCTCAGTCTACCTGATTCCAGGGGCTGGTTGAGCTAGGCTGCATAACCAGGGCAAGCCCTAGGACCAGGCCCACAGGAACTCAGCAGGAGGCAGAAAAGGTGACAAAGGTCACTTAAGGCAGAGTCAGGTCATGTCTTCCTGAGCTTCCCGGTGCCTGTGCAGACCTTATTGGGCTCTGCACTCTTTATTCCGTTTTTTTTGTGTGGTCCCAGATTCCACCGCAGTGGGGGGTAGGAGTGGGTGCGGGGCACAGTCCAGCCCAGCTCCCTCAGCTAAGCGCTCTGAGCCCTGAGGCTCACCCCTTGCACCACCTCTCCTTTGAATGTGGTCGTGCAAGCACAGGCCCGGTACAGTCGGCGGCACACCAGTGACCAGAGTGTGCAGGACGTAGTGTCGCAGTCCAGGAAACACCCCCTCCCCAGCCGCCCTTCCAGGGGGAGGGGGGAAGTGAAGGGGCGGGGCTTCGGGTCACTTGCAGGTGCCGTAGTACAGCACGCGCCCATTGATGTAACTGCGGATCTGCTCCACGCGCTTCTCCAGCCCCGACAGGTCCGCCGAGCGCAGCAGGATGGCCTGACTCCCACGCAGCAGCTCGGACTCCATGTCTGAGGCAGGCAGAACAGCCAGCAGGAAAGAATCAGAGGGTGAGAAGCCCAGGGATTCCCAGCCTGCTCTGCCCCTCCCCCAGCCTGGAAGCAGCAGGGACAAGAGAGTCTCCCCCAAATGCTGTCGAGCACAGACTACGCACCTCTCCAGCCTCATCCTGCTCTTAGCAAAACCTGGCAGGCCCAGGCCCAGCGTCTCAGCCTCCCCTTGGCCTGCCCCTCTCCTCCACTCCAGGCTCTCTGGCTATCCCAGGGTGGCACAGAAGGGTGCTGCCCCCAATATTTGCAACCAAGTTAGGCATGCAGAGCCCTGAATCCTACCAATGGCCTTCAAGTGCATGCTGGAAAAAAGCTGGCCAGGTGTCCTGGAGCTTTCACCACTCCCTAAAATATCACTCCGGGACAAAGTGGTTGCTTCCTGCCTCAGCACATTTATATACTATCTGCAGATAAGACACAAGGTCTGAAATTCTGCAGGGTACACCAGGCAGGAGTCCCCTCCATAATGCTGTGACGGCCTGGACCTTACCGGGAGGTGGGGAGGAGTGTGCGCTGCCTCGCAGGGTGACTGCAGCTATGCCGAAGTCATCTCCTCAGGATGCCCAAATCTGACCACTTCCCACTTCCACGCACACAGCTACCCCAGGCCTACCCCAGACAGTGGTGACTGTCTCGTGTGCTGCTGGGGAACAGCACTGCAACACTTCTGTGACTGGACATCCAAGACAAACACCTCAACTCGTTAACCGCTACATCACCCCTTCCCCTGCCTACCCTGGCCGCTTCCCTGCGACAGGCGCATGTCTGTCGGTATTCTTTCTGAAGGTGAGGTTGCCCTCACCTTCCCAAAGTGCAGCAGCGCTGGCTCTGAGCAGCCAGTGGACCTCTGCATGGAATCCAGGCTGACAGACAGGATGACAACACAGTGACTTAGCACATGGTGTGTCTTGGTCCCAGCAAATGGAAGGCTCGGCCCCGAGCACAGGAGCAGGATCGGTCTGCATGGGGCCCTCTGGGCCTGTCACCCTGGAGCCGCTGCCTCCTGTTTGTCCCATGTTTGCCAAGTCTTGCATCGGTGAGCAAGACACTGCTGACTTAGAACATCTCGCAGTGACTCAGAACTCCTGAGTAACAGCTTGTGCGTTACTAAGTGGTGCGTTACACCACTTAGCAGTTACAAAATGCTTCTGGTGACATGAGCCATCCACAGAGAAGCTTCACCCAAGCCGTGGGTTAGTGGCAGAGGCCCAAACAGGGACAGAGGTGACTTTCCCTCTTATGTAATTTCGCCCATCATTTTGAACTTTTGAAGTTCCCTGTCAGTGATTGTTTCCCACTGTATTATCTTCAGATATGATGAAAATTGTTATCTGCAGATACGGTATTGCTGGGCAAGGCCAGGACAAGTGCTGAACTGGCATCCAGTCCTCCTCCAGGGCACGTGGCCACAGCCAATTCGCCATAAACCTACCAACCTGCTATCTTCCATAGTGTCCACCTGGCCGTAGATGAGGCTTCTACCAACCATTTGTACTGCCATTCAGAAGAACACTGTGCATGGCATTTGCTGGACACACTTTCAGCATACCCACAGATGGACAGGGAGTTCCAGGAACTCTCCCTTCTCAAGGCTACTATCGTTGTGTCCCATGTTCCAAACACGCAGACAGCCTAAGACAGCTCACAACTGCATCCATCTCTACCCTCATCGTCAGGGCAATGAGGAGCCAGGACACTGTGCTCGGATTCCTCGCCTAGCTTTCTCTCCTTCTGGATGTGAGTCCAGTCATGGCCATGGAACACCCCTCCTCCTTCTCTCCCCAATCATCCTGTGGCCCCTCACCACCCCCCAGCCTCCCCCAGGCCTTTGCCGCCTTCCTCAGATCTTACCTCTCTGAACATTTCTCTCTGGCACCGACTACCCTCTGAGCCCCTTGAAGTCTCCTATGTCCTCATCACGGACATGCGGGTCACTAAAATGCCTCGAGGGCAGCAGGAGAAAAGGCCCCAGCTGGCCTGCAAGCGCCTCCCGGTCCGGCCACGTCACCTGCACGTCTCCACACTCCGCTAACATGTGCAAGCTGCTCAGTTATCTTTGGCTGCTCTCGTTCCCTTATCCCTGCTGGTTAGGCTCCAACAAGAATGAGTTTTAGGAGTACCACATGGGAGGGGACAGCGAGATGGCTCAGTGGGTAAAGGTGCCGCCACTGACAACCTGAATCTGATCCCCAGAACCGATGAGGTGAGGGAGGTAGCCAGCTCGCCCAAGCCGCCCTCTCACCTCCACTCACACGTGTGTGCATTTGTGCACACAAAAAATACAATTTAAAAAATGTTAAAGAAGTTGTGGGTGGCGACTGCCTTCCAGAGGGCCCAACAGTCCATGTTCCCGGATCATGCTCACCTTTCATTCTGTCCATCATTCCCATGGTCTCCCCAAACAGCTCCTCGGCCTCAGTCTTGATGCTCAGGATCCGACTGCCTTGCTCGCCCAGCGCAGGACTCTGGCCCAGCCGGTTCTTCAACTCTGTATACTTTCTCTTGAGTCTCTCAAAGCCCTGGGGGAAATAGGCCATTCTCAGCACCACCATGGGCATAATCCAAAGTCCTAAACACCGGAAGCTAACTGGCATCAGCCAAGCCAGCACACGGCCTTCTGCTGTCCCCAGAAGTTAGGGTTGCCTAGGTGCCCTGCCTACCCCTGAGGCCCCGGGGACAGCTTACAATCTTCAGGCACAAAATGGCAGGTTAGTATCCAGGTGCGTTGGCAGCTTTGTCTCTAGACCAGGACTGTATGTGCCCGTGCTGCTGCTCTGGGCACAGCAAGTGGTATACCTGAGGTACTGAAATGGCTCTTGATCTTCTTTATCCCAATTCTGTCTAGGAGGGAGCCCAGGGTGTCTGTCTGTCCAACCCAGGAATGTCTACCAGGATGGAGACTCGGGAGATGAGCTCCAGAGTGGGTATCAAGGAAAACTACTTTGTAGGTGAACTGGCGCCTGGGACAAGTCTCTATCTCATTCATAAACAGTATCTAAGATGTTCCTTGCCTCTTGTGCCAGCTACCCCGAGGAGCAGCAGTGGGTAGATTCAGGCACAGGTAATGTTTGGCAATGAGTGAACCATTCTGGTCTCACAAGGTAACTCTTACTGCTCAGGAGCCCTGCTCTGGCTCCACATGTCTGGGATGGCTCTTTATACCTCCTGGGCATTCAGCGCCTGCTGGCTGGCGCCCTCTGCAAGCCGCTGGGCCTGTATTGCCTGTGCCTGCCCCTCCTGGGCCTGGTGACGGAGTTCCTCCATCTGTGCCCAGAAGCCGCTCATCTGCTCCTTCATGCCCGTCACCAGCCTCTCGGCTGGCCGCAGCACCTGCTGGACCTTTGTGGAAAGACAAAAGAATCAGGGTTTGTGTTGGGTCTCAGGCATCAAGGGGCCTCATTTCCCCAGCTTGCCTCTCTCTTTAGAAAGGACCATGACACCTTGACTGTGAGCTAGCAGCTGAGTGGCACCCAAGCCTTCTCCATCTCCACTCACTCATCAATGCAGCCCAGAGCCCATCCCTGCCTTTGCATCCTGGGCAGGTGACGCAAGTCTGAAGCCCCAAGGGAAGACCTCCAGCATTAGCTAGCTGGAGCACTCTAGCACCTTCTGTCTTGCACCAAAATCTATCCATTCCCAAACATGGGGGAGGGGCTAATGTGTCACCTCAGCAACCCTTTCCTGGATGAGCCGAAGAGAGCGGCCAGTGCCCTGCATAGTGTCCTGGGC